CTACTACTACAACTACAGCAACAACTACAGCAACAACAACAATAATATTAATAACAATAATGACGCACATACATATCCCTTCGAACAAAAAGTAAAAAAAAAAATTAAAATGCACCAGGAACAGGTCTAATGATTGAACGAGACCGTAGAAGAGGTATAAAGGGTTTACAAACTCAATTAACGTTGACAACTTGAATATGAGTGTCATTGGCCATTGCTCGTTAAAACACTAATAATGCAATCTATAAGTTTGCAAGGTGTTATTATTATCCAACAAAAAATGTCAAAGATAAATTTAAAATTTAATAAGGGATTGATTTTTTTACAAAAAAAAACAAAATGATTGTGGTATGGCTATCGCATGCGAGGAAAATAAAAATGGTTATTCACGTTTTGAAAAAAAACGCATTTTACAAACTAACTATTTCAAATTAGAATCAATAAATTTTGAATAACAAACCAACCCAAAAACATAAAATCTCAAAAATAGAAACATGAAAATAAAAACCGAAAAGACCACAGCAAATACAAAATAAGACTGCAACAAATGAAAACGAAAATCATAAAAAAAAACAAAAACCAAAAAACAAACACCAAAAAATGACTTTTACAATAACAAAAGAAGGCAAATTAAAAAAAAACAGAAAACAGCAGCAGCCACTGCAGCAGCAGCACTAGCGACAACTAACGCAAGCATGACAACAATGAAATCCAGCCAGTTCCATGCATCTCTCAGGTAGGTGAAGTCAGCCAGGATGAATCCACGCGCTAGCATCTTCACACTTCCTTCAACTGTGTAGATGCCAGTGAATGTTTTTCTATGGTTGTTGGTAGGGTTGTTTTAATGTTATTCATTGCATCCTACATTTTCCAAGGTTGTTGATGGAGTTTTTTTAATGTTGTCTATTAACTTGTTGACTCAAATCATCACAGAATTTTCATTAGCAAATATTTGGTTATGGTAGTAACGATATTTTCTGTATTAACCAATCATACGCTGTATTCTACTTAACGTTGCTTTTGTTGTTTTCATTGATAAATTTACACTTTTCAAACACACACACGTGCACGCGCGCGCGCACGCACAAACACACAGCGTGAACAAACATATCAGTGTAAATCAAACACAACATAACTTATGCGTACGGATGATAGGTTAGGATGAGTTTGTGTTCACCTCACCACCACAGCACCATCATGATGAAAAAATGAATCAACTTCAGTTCAAATTTATAAAGAGAAAATTTAATACTAGTCTAAAAACTTACTCAGCGGCTTGAAATTCTTCTTTAATGGCCATGAAGACACAGTTGACCAGTATGACCACCATCACTGTCAGACTGAAGAATGTGGACACGACAAACATTCAAACAGGCAACACATCGCCGCCATTTTTACGATGATGATGACGTCAGAATGGACATTGATAACATTCGTTAAGGAAATGACACTTTTTAATTTTTTTAAATTGATATATTTTTTATTTTCTTGATTTATTTTATAATTTATTTAGCGAAACTTGATTGTTTTTTTTTAATATTTTTTCAAACAAACGATTTTATTGATGGTTGGACATATTTCTACTGACATAAGAAATGAATTATTTAATTTATTTAAAAATTAATTTAAATAATATTTTCCATAATACAATATTAGGAACTTGATAACAACACTACAACAGCAAAACATCAGCATAAAAAACAACATGAACACAAACAACAACATGAACACAAACAACAACATGAACACAAACAACAACATGAACACAAACAACAACATGAACACAAACAACAACATGAACAAAAACGACAGTACCAAAATAAACTCAAAAAGCATCACCAGCCGACGAAAAAAAATCGTCAAAGAAACGTGTTAACTGACTCCTCAGAAATTCAACGGCGATAAACCTCGCTTGACTCACTCACAAAATGTGTTTATGATTGCAGTCTAATATATTTATGTGGGCACACTCATTTGTATCAATGTGTCCATGTTTATGTCTTTTTCTCTCTTTCTTTCTTTCTCTCTCTCCTTCAATCTCTTTCTTTCTTTCTCTCTCTCTTTCAATCTCTTTCTTTCTTTCTCTTTCTCTCTCTCTCTTTTTCTTTTATTGGTTCTCTTTGTCTCTCTCTCTTAATGTCTGTTGATTTTTGAGTTTGGTTTTTTGAGAGTATGTTTTTGTCCATGTTATTATTTTTGTCACTAAGTTTGTATACGTCTGGTAGATGAACGACTTAAAACATCGTGACGTGAAGAGCATTTTTCTTAAAACTCAGTAAAACTCATTTTTTAACAGCCCTAACAAAAATGTTGGGGGTTTTCGGCTCCCGTCAAACAAACTTCAAAATTTTGGCCCATTCCCATTCCGTCAACATATTTTAAATCTGTCCCTTTATGGGTTTGCTTGCAGGATTTTTTGTTTTATTTTTCTATTACATTGATTTATATGTACAACATTAATTGTAAATTAATATAAGAAGCGATTACAAATCTGATAACGAATTTTACAAAATATGCGACTGAATAACGTCAACATCAGTTAATATTAAATCTACGGTACTTTCTATCAAAAACATTTTAAACGACTCTCTCTCTGAACTGAAACCAGACTCACACCACCTGGCTCATCACTTCAAGTTTCTTCTGCTGTGTCGAATGCAGTGGACTTGGTTGGTCGCTGGATGCTATCAAACAAGCTTAAACTCAACGTCAAGAGAACTCACTATTTGAGGAGGGAAACGTCGCATGGCCGCAGCCGTTTAACTAGTTTCAGAAATTGCAAATCGCAGTCGCCTGAAATCCTCCGATGATGGCGATCTTGTTCTTCCTAAATTCGATTCGACTCGTTTAGATTTTTTGATTCATTAGCAATACTTTGTAACTCATTACCTGTTAGATTTGAAAAAATTCAAAAACACGAGCCGACGTGTTTTCAAGAAACGTTTGAAACATCATTTGTTTTGACATTCTCGAGTGAGGCTAGCGCCTCTGAAGTTATTCAAATCCTTAGATACAGATACAAACCATGCATACGACTGTGTACCAATAACAATTTTATTTGCATTACATACACGCGCGCACACACACACGCGCACACACGCATACACACACACACGCACGCACACGCACTACGGATGCGTGAGCGCACGCAAAATTGACACATTTTCTGTTTGCGGCTACCAGGCGATCTCCATTAGCAATATTGACATGCTTTATTTGCACAACAATGAATTAATGAGCGTACATATAAATGATTGCATATATGGCAAGTAGGTAGGGAGACGGACCTGACTATCAATTGTGACCATGCTTTGGCTATGCTAATATAGGCTATGTATCTATTGGGATACTATCTAAAATTTTGAAATGTTTTAGTTCAACGAAGTTTGTCTTGTTATAATGACATCAAAGCGTTCAAAAATTTTCTTATAAATTTTTCGCGGCAGTGTTTTATATTGAATGTTCGGTCCGAAGAGTTAATGTTTCATGCTATGAATGCTAAAACACCTATCAGAATCGGTCCTAGAGTTTACGTAAAAAATTGTGGTATTTCTGCATATTTATTTTGCTGTAGCATTGTCCTACTCTATCAGGAAATTTTAAATAAATGGGTAATTGTAATGATGATCGAGGTACAGAGGCAAGAAAAATAATTGACAGCAGAGAGAAAACTAATAATTACTTTTAAATGTTATCAATGCTCTCCAATATATTTGTGTTGCAAGGTATCAGTTACACTTACATGTTAGACTGTTGATTTCTGAAAATTTGGTTTGGTAAATTTATTTTGAAGTATAAGTTCAAACAACTTGACAAATGTTGAATACATTCCAATCCCGAGAAAAAAAAACTTGGGATAGATAATAATTTCTTTGCTTTACTACTGCTTCTTAAATGTTAGTATTAAACCATTAATTCTAACACCAAATCAACTGATTAAAATAATTATAAATTTGGTATAATGAGGTATTAATGAAATTAAATATCGAAAATATAAAATGATTCAGACTAAGATGTGTATATAATTTAATATTAAGATTCGAACGTGCGTGTGTGTGTGTACGTGTGTGCGCAGTTGATAATGTTTGCAAACTGCAACACACCAACACGACGCACATGCAATCCAGCGATGTTTGCCCCCAGTTTGTATATCATGCCTGATGGTTTAATCATCTTCGCAAATATGCACACAGGCAGGTAAACAACGCAATACAAAACAGACGCAACGCAATACAAAACAAACGCATAAAAAACGCTGATGATAAGCAGGAGGGCATCGCTGAAGAATGCAACGATCAAATTGAGAACAATCGAATATGCAAACAATTGAGCGCACAAACCTTTTTATGCGTACAAATACTAAACGACCAAACACTTGAACGAACAAACGAACAAACGTAAGAACGAACGAACGAACGAAGGATTGTTGAAACAAAAATACATTGGAATGATTGCAAAGCTATGTAGACTGTTTTCTGAACAAACATACACGCAAAAATAATAAACCGTACACGTACACCCATACATACCTAAAATACGCATACACATACACAACAGAACATACGCCAGCACGGAACAAACTGACAGGCAACCAAGCAGACATCTGATGCAACGAATATTTCTGAAACGTTGAGCTTTGAAGAGCACACGTACATAGACGTATTTCCTGAATGTCAAGAACTGGCATTCCCTGGCTAAATGATGATGAAGCATAAAAAAATAAAACTACCATGCTTCGTTCATAACAAATGAAATAACACGTTGTACAAAAAAATGATGATCGGATATCTGCGTTTAGGTTAGACTACTTTTTGTCTACAAACACCACTAATTAAGCATCGCAAATTCCGACTAATTTCTCAATACCTATCGTTATTAAATGAGCAATTAAATTTGGCTGTGTTGTTCAGTTTCATTTTATAAAGAATATTAAAACTTTTGAGGAGTCTTACAAAAATATGCAACAAGTTTCAAGTTGGAGTTGAATTTCTTGGCAAAGCTTTTCTTAGAAAATTGGTGCTGCGAATATTTTTTTATTTGAAAATAGAGCAAAATATCTAAAAGAGTAGACAAAAACAAAAAAGAATTAAAATAACTGAATGGGAATACTGGATAACTAACTTTTTTAAAAATACACAGAAAGACGTTGAGGAACGCATAAAAAAACCTCTCATCAACTATAAATGACATTTTAAAAAACTATTAAAGTGAAGCTTCATGGAGTGACTTAGCATTAGCGTGAAAAGCGAGAAACTTCAATTGATGAATATTTAAAATTAATAGAAAAAATCTTTACTTTCTCACTTTAGGTCATTCAACGAATTCATTTATTCATTCACGAATGAATACCTACATGAATTAATTCATTCATTCATTCTTAAGGAAGTATGTTAATAAAGTTTTATAAATATAGAGCTATATTTATTAATATTTTCATCAAAGAAATATATATAATCTATTACATAGTCAAATTTCTAAAAACAATTTTACCAAATCAAGCAATTTGTATTTTTTTATAAATTCTTTTATTTTTCAAAAAAAATCTCTCCGCCTAATCATCAGCTCATACATTTCTAATGAATCCATTCCAACTTGAAAGAGAAAAAAAAACCTAAGTGAAGACGGGCTGAACAGGATATGAAAATTACGAGGAAGAAAGAAATACACATACCGCAGGTATCTCCCACTCACGTTCGTTATATCATGTACTCAGTACCTCACAACTCGGTATATGTCTTTCTAATGTGAGCAATGCGATGGTATAACGGTAAAGTGCCTGGCACTGGTGTTGCAGCGACCGAGTTCGACTGCAGAGAAATCCAGCATGCATTGTGTGTTTATTGTTAAAGTCTCTGAAAAACATTGAAGAGGAAATTGTAATAAACAATAAATAAATACGTAACTAAATCGCACATGCCATATCTGATACATGTTTATATAACACCTCGAACACACAACTTCATATGTTTTTAGTACCTTAAATAGATAAATAAACATAAGCGGAATATGTATTTAATACATTTATTATATTTACTAATATATAAACACATAGGTACTCTACACATACATGGTATGTGTGTTTGATGCATTAAATCCGTAAAAAATTTATGGGAACAAGTTCACAGAAAGACCAGAAAAAATGAATACAAAAAAGAACTTTAAGAAAACACGTTTTTCTACTAATTATAAATGACATAAAGATTAACAAATGAACTCCTACTAATGCATACACGCGAACACTCAGAAAAACGTAATTCATATACAAAAACAAAATCATACTTAAAATCAGACGTTCACAGACATACATATATACTTACAAATATACACACAAACAAACACACACATATATATATATACATACAAGCACACACACACATACATTCACCCACACACAGACACACATACATACACCCACACACATACATACACACATACATACACATTTATATATATATATATATATATATATACATACATATATACATGCAAACAAACACACACACACACACACACACACACACACACATACACTCATACACACATATTAGATTCAGAGTAAGCAGACTCAGAGTTGTCACTATTTTTATTGAACACTGACATACTTATTTGTTCAGTCAGAGGGATTACAAGACCGCCTTCATGACATGGTCTTCATAAATATTTCATTGAAACTTATATATATAAGTTTCTGCTGTATTGTGTGTCTTTTTGTTTGTCTGTTTGTTTGTTTGCTTGTTTTGTGAGTTTGTTTGTTTGTTCATTTGTTTGTCTGTTTAATTTGTGTGTGTGTGTTTGTGTGTTTACATTGCTCATTTTTATGAAAACAATAAATAAACAAATAGATGAAAAGAGGAAAATTTGAAATCTTAAACCCCAAAAACAACAATAACAACAAATTAGCCACACACAACAACAATAACACAGCAGCAACGACAATAATTCTTTAAACAACACACCACCAACAACAACAAAACAACAACAGTATGAATTTAGCTCGAGCATAAACATAAAAACAACATCAACGAACAAAACATAGACAACAAAAACTTGGTCAAGAAAAACATAGACTAGAAAAACATAGACAAAGGATATGGATGTGTCAGGACGTACATGGCCGCCCTCCTGATTGGGTTGAATGGAGTGAATATAAAGAAACCTTTCGTGGCGCTAAACCTACGAATACAAAATTTAATTTTTCAAAATAATTATTTTCATTTATAATTAAAATTGTCAAAATAATTGAGCGTGAAATTGTAAAATTATAATTTAACAATGCAACATAAAAGTACATATTTATAATGTGAATTGCATTCAGTGGCAGACACTAGAACAACCAAGCCTACCAGACCAATGGGACAAACTTTAACCCGAAACCCTACCAGACTTTGAAAGAGGAATTTAAGAGGAGTTAATTTAAAAAATTAACTAAAAAACCAATAACTTGAAAATTTTCAAAACTATTCCGCCCCTCCGAAACGGAAACGAATGAGGAAAAAATCACGAAATGAAATGTCATGTTCAAAATTCTGGATCTGCTACTGGTTGCATATTAAATCGTTAATTATTAATTATATATATTATAATAATTATATATAAACATATATATAAATTGTAGTTTTATAAATTGTAGTATATAAATTGTAAATTTATATAAATATAAATTTTCACTGTAGTTTAATATTATTGTAATGAAAATAACCAAAGACTAAAAATTGAATAAAAATTTTTTACAAAAATTTTATTTAATAGAAACTTTGAAAAAAGAAACAATGACCTGAATATGGTTTTGTCCTTGGCCACAATCATGAACGTCTGTAAGTATGCGAGAAAATGTTCTTTCAACATTTTAGCAGTTAATCATTCGGAAAAATGACTCGTTTATTAAAATTAATAAAAATTTTTATTCGAATATACTGGTTATGTAATAGTAATGGCAGAGGTGTAGCCAGAGGGGGTTTACAGAGATGCAGCCAGAAGGGGCTTACAGAGGAGAAGCCAAAGGGGGCTCCGTTTACAAAAATTTTCTTTTTTGACCATGCCATTAATTAAATGATTGGTAATGGAAATAATTGTTAAGTTTTATAATCTTAGAATTTTTAATAAAAAATTTTTTAGGTGTTTTTTAATCTAATTTTGATAAAGTTAACGATAGGTAAATCCGAATTCCATCTTACGTATTTATTTCTATAATAATCATCCAAATCTTCAATGGGCTTTCCGTACAAGCTTGGCGGGAATTCGCCAATTTTTGATGGCAGGGTTTTTCCCACTTCGAACATGGGGTTGGGCGTCAGTTCTTCTTTTTTCTCTGCGGGTGCCTCCGCGTTTGAGCTGTCGGTGGGATTGTTCTTGTCTGCATTCTCTAGCTGCTCTTGTCTGTGTGGTTGGTTGGTTGGTGGATTGGTTGGTTGGATAATGGATTGATAGGTGAGTTGGTTGATTGATTGATTGGTTGGTTGGTTGATGGATTGATAAGTTATTTGGTTGATTAGTTGGCTGACTGGCTGGCGGATTTGTTAATTAATTGAGAAATTGAATGATTAGTCGGTTGATAACATGATTGGCAGTTACTTGGTAGGTTTTAAAAATGCTTATCTATCTGCTTATTAGTTAAACGAATGTTTAGTAACTTCATTTTTTTTTAGTTTATAGTGCTTTACTGCACTGTTTGTGATTGAATATCAATGTGCGGTGTTTGCATGTCTGTGTTTATGTGTCTGTGTGTATGTGTGTGTGGTGTGTGTGCGCGCGCTTCTGTGTGTGTGTAATGTGCGTGTGTGTGTATAGTGTGTGTGTGTAGGTAGGAGACATCCATCACGAATCCATGTGCAAATAATGAAATGTTTAATCCCCATGGTAACGATGTTTTCGATGGACCATTCAACTATATCAACACGTACGCACACGTTTATACTACACACCAACACGCACACACACACACATACCCACATTTTCATAGGGTACACAGTGAAACAAAAAAAAATTTGAAATGTATGAACAAATTTATGTTTATGTATGTATTTACGTACGTACGTATGTATGTATGTATGTATGTATGTATGTATGTATGTATGTATGTATGTGTGTGTGTGTTTGTGTGTATGTACGTAAACATGTATATGAATGTATACATGTCAGTATGTGTACATATTCTAAAAATCGTACGTGCTATAAGCGTGAGTGTTGGTTATGGAAAATATTAATACGACTAACTTATTCCAGCATATGTTGTGCGTGTGTGTGTGTGTGTGTGTGTGTGTGTGTGTGTGTGAGTTTGAGTGTGTGTGTGTGTGTGTGTGTGTGTGTGTGTGTGTGTGCGTGCGTGTTACCTTCCAAATGATAAATAGAAACGTGGCATGGAAAAATACCATCCATCAATGTTTTCGTCACGCAATATCATCATCATCACCACCATCATCATCTCTGTCATCATTACCATCACCATAATCTACATTCTCCTAATCATCATCATCGCCGTCATCATCTCCCGCATCATAGTATAATCATCATCATCTGTAGTAGTAGTAGTAGTAGTAGTAAGATGCTGCTGCTACTAAGTAGTAGCAGCAGCATCTTTGTACGCAATGAATAAATTTACTTTATTACTTTATTCCATTCAGTGACGTGTATGCATTTGAAACGTGCATTCCAATTTTAATGGCTACCAATTCATATATGTCTATGCCTAATATTTGCATATAATTTTTTATCGGTTAGATGAACGTAAGCGATTTTTTGAGTGTGCACATACATGATGTCTTCTTTTTTTCTTCCTCTTCTTTGTCTTCTTTGTGGATACATGTTTTAATGTAAAAGTTTTTTTTTTATTATTATTCTTTAAAAATCAGGATCTGACAGACGCAGAAACTGTAACAACATGCAAGGCAGTGAAACAAAATTAAACAAAATTTTATGGGACGGTACAGAGTGTATTTATCATCGTGTGGCGGGTATGAAGTGCAAGTTTTTATTTGGTGTAGCGTTGTTGTTTGCTTTATTTTTGGTATAAGTTTATTGGTGCGTTACTGTGTGGTTTGTATGTTTTTGTTGGTGTTGTGCGTGTGTTTTTAGCCTATATTTTTTTTATAAAATTAAGTTTTTTTTGGTTTTATTTTATTTCAAAAGTTGATTATCAAAATTGGTTTGTAAGTCAGTAACACGTTTTAATTGTTGGTTGAATATGTGTGGATAGATTGTTATAAACCCCTGGCAAAAATATTGAAAGTTAAATATCAGTAGTTACCTAATTAATATAGAATAAACATTTAATCATACACAAATAATTCTTCTCATTTTTTTTTTTAAGACATAGGTTGATGGATGTACACTTGTTACCGGCTGACAAGGCTTACAAAAAGATGTCTATCTTGTCGCTAAAAACCTACACAAATTTATATTTAAAAAAAAAAAACTAACGATAAAAATATGAAAAATTCTACTGAATTCCAAACGAAAATTGACAAAAAATAACGCAGACTGGAGAAGAAATACAGCCAAAAAAAGGTGAACAATGAAACGTCGGTCAAATGGTTAATGAAGTATGGAGGAGAACATAAAATAAGGAAGAGCTGTATGATAAAATGAAGCACCAAAAAGATGCTGATGTCAAATGAACTGCGAATGAATTGCGCCACAAAAGAAGAACAGACCTCCTCCTTAGGTGGTTAGAAAGTGTAAAGTTATCTTTAGGAACAAAATAGCATGCTACCCACGACTTATAATTTAAAAATTTTTTATATTTAAATTCAGTCGAAACGTTCTAAATGATAGTAACTTTAAAAATTAATACTTGTATCATTAGCCAGCCATACAACTGATTCATTCACCTAATCCATGGGTGGGCAAACTGTTTGCTTTGAGGGCCGCATTGAGAACAATTTTACCTTTGAAGGGCCGCATATGTACTTAAATTGCAACTTTTTTTTGACCTGGGGGAAAATTATTTTAAAGTTTGTGGCTCCTTTTTTTGGTCCTAATGTCTGGCTGGCGACCTTTTTATTAATAGAGAACAAGGCCTCGGGCCGTACTTGTTGGCCATAACACTCTTAAAATTAAAATGCTCGAAATGTACACAAAGAACTTTTATTTTATTTTAATATCAAAATATAACTTTATTTAAATTGTAATTGCAATCAAATATTAAACTGTTAAAATTAAAATTTTTAATTGAATCGAAACCAGTTTGAAATTGTGTCTATATACGTCAGAGATGTCAGACATTTCAAATAGAGACAACTCAGAGGGCAGAAACAGCAATCTTTGCCGTGCATACATGCACATGAGATAGAGATTTAACAATTTTCATGTGCTTTTTTACAATAAAAAAATATATAAAAACACAATATTTATATGAAAACACATATACGCGGGTAACAAATTTCGTAAGTGTACCATAGCTACACATAGAGGCTTACATACTTTCACTGCAACTCAGAGAAGCAGAACTACGTGTAAGCAGAACAGCTTGACAGGATGAGTAATAAACAATAATTTGATCCCATGGCCTCCTCTACTTCTCTTTTTTCCTTCTCCGTCTCTTCATCTTTTTATCCATTCATTCATCCATTTGTTTGTGTGTTTGTCTGTCTATCCATATACTCATCTATTTATACATCCATCTATCTACGTATCTATTTAATAACTCTTTTATTATTAAGAAATTTCACAGGTGGAAAAAACCCAGATACATTCGCACATATCAAGAACAAAAATTTTTTTTTCAAATATTCTTAATCATTAGTTAGCCACTAATTAAAGATTTAGCTCTCCATATAATGCAAAACTTGCTTTCCTAGTCACTAAATTATTTACTCACAGCAAAAAATTATATTTTTTTTTTGTCTAATATGAACAAAAATAAATTTGTTGAAAATGAAAAAAACAAATTTTTAATCTGAAAAAAATTTAACGTGAGGTTGAAATTAGATTGTGTGAAATTCGTGTGTGGGTGAAATTACAAAATTGAGATTAAATTTTAAAAAAATAATTTATATTTTAAAAATATATCGATATAACAGTGAAATTAATTAAGAAATTTACATATTTCACTAAAAAGTGAATGAATTTATTATTTGCATATGCCTATAAATTACGAAACAATACAATTAAACTTTCACAATGACTTAATAATAATTTATATAATTTATAATTCTTCTAACTGGATGGGCATTCGATTTGAAAGCCAGTTGAATTTCCATAGCTGCCTTGTCAGTTAAAAATGAATGATTGATTCAACATTAGCTATCTAATTTATTGGCAAGTTTAATTGAAATGTGTCAATACATGAGCGTGAATTTGTGCTCGTGTGTGTGTGTGTGTTTGTGTGTGTGTGTGTTTGTGTGTGTGTGTGTGTGTGTGTGTGTGTGTGTGTGTGTGTGTGTGTGTGTGTGTGTGTGTGTGTGTGTGTGTGTGTGTGTGTGTGTTAGGGTAGATTTCTAAGATGACGTTGACAGCGATAAAACGTTGCTCTAGCATCTGAAAATAAATTTGTAATGAAAAATAATCAATTTAAAATTCGACAAGACCTGTCGTCTGGAGTTAGAATATGTGTGCCATAATCTAGGCTTCTGTCAATATGACGCTGCACAAAGGTTGTCTATAATTACTGGTACCTACTCCACACAGCAAAGTGCTATACCAGTTTATTTTTCAAATGCAACTTGTTTTTGCAAATTATCCTAATGCCTGAGATTTGAGTTTTCATTTGTTCGTTTGATTTTTGATTTGATTATGCTTCCATTACATTACAAATATTTGTTTGTTTATTATTTATAATTATTTTTATTACAAAATATTGAGAATTTTAATTGACATTTCAGGATTTTAAAATTTAAAATATAAAATAAAAGTCCTTTTTTTTTGTGGCAAAACTTTACATACCCTGAATTTGTTTTGCGCTTTTGCATTCAATGCCACTGAAATACTCAAAGGGATTGAAATATTGCAATTAGCCTAATTAATCTCAATCATTTGCATAATATTATCTTAATCATACGTGAAACGTGAAATATCTTTTTATGAAAAAACATTTTATGTTTTATATTTAAAATCGTAAGCTTGTTTCCTTGTTTACGACGAATTAATACTGTTTTCAAAATAATTCAATTTAAATCTTCCTCCTACTTAGATCATGCCACAAAAAAAACAGAAGTAGGTAAGAAAATGTAAGGTCAAGAGGTCAGCCACTATTTAATGATTATCGTTCGATTTCAGAAACGCGGTCAGTACGAGTGCCTTGATTTAGACTCTAACTAGTCATGCGTGATAGTTTAGCGACCGCTCTTTGTTACCTGTTCTATGTGTTTTTCAT